ACGTCTCCCCAGCAGCCTGGGCCCCAGGGACCGGCAGCACGTGGAGGAATTCGAATCTCAGGAAAGAAATTGGGGGCTGTTTTTTCTGTAATTGTGAAAACAAGGTCTTCACACATGGAGACTTCTCCCCCTGCACAGGAGCACATGGAAATGCTCAGCACCCAGTCTGGAACAGAAGACCCGAGGCATTTGCCACCAGGCAGAGAGCAGGGGTCCCAACACTAACAAGGGATCCCCAGGGATCCTAGGAGGGGTGGGGTCGGGGCTGGAGCAAGATTGGAGTCTGTGAACTAGAGTCTGCAGCCCTACCAAGTCCAGCACTGCTGCTTCCCAACCCCTCGCCTTTCCTCCCTTCCTTCCTGATCCCTCGGTGCCTGCCTCAGGGGGGCCCTACACTGACCTCTACTACTCTTTCCCACTGCTTGCCTCTGAAGACTCATGAAACGATAGGCTCCCCCGCATGGGAGCAGGCATCTGCCAGGACACTGAGGACACGGCCCCGGGCCAACCTTCGCAATGCCCTGACCGTCCGTTAGCCATCTAAGTGTACTGCTCACTTAGGGCCACAGACTAGGGACATCAAAAGGTTCGTGGGAAAATTCCATTTCTTCACAAACTTTTTGAAGGTCCTCTCCCCATACAGCCCAAGTTCCCGTGTGCACAAGTACAAGATTTTATATAGCCCAATCTGTAACTTCCATGTGTGCCAATATACATTTTCTCTGTAACTCTGTTTCTATTGTCCAGGCTATTGGCCGTGGGAGGTTGTGTCTTAGACCTGGGATGGCACGCTCTCCTTGGAGCAGTGTCCTCCGTGGGCATTTCCTGGCATTCTCCCATCTGAGCTGCTTGGAATTTATGGTGATTCCTTAGCTTGAACAGAGTCCTTGCCTCCCTAAGCTGTGGGGAGCCTTTGTTCTTACCTTGCTTTGGGGGTACCATCCCTGTGTTCTCTGTTCCTATCTTTCCTCGGCCCTCTGGATCAAGAGACGAACAGCTTAGGCTACAGAGGAGAGGGCCAAAAAGGAACAGGGACTTGGCTCTGACTCAGTTGGAGGAAGGGGGCGGGGACAGAAAATGCAATGCCCAGAAGAGGTGGCTTCCCCGAAGCTTGGAGCCCAGGCCGAAGGCAGGCGTGTGGGACCCAGTGCCCACAGGGAGTCACATATGCCCTGTGGGCCTGTCCTCTAGTTTCCTATCCTTGTTTTTGTTCAAGCTGAGTTAGGTCCCCCTCCCCCCAAAGCAGCCCCAGTGTTTAGACATCTTGGCCTCCAGCTCACTCATCACTTGCCCCCTCCAGCTGCCCTAGCAGGCAGTGTCCAGGCAATGGTCTCCCTGTCACCCATGGAAGCAGCTGGTGTAGACATCTTCACTCCACCTAGCCTGAGTCACCACCTCCATCCTGCCCTCCCTGCTCCAGTGGGGCAGAGCTACGAGCTCTCTCGGTCCCTGTTCATTTGTCATGTTTGGTGTCTGTGGCAGGCCAACAGGGACAGCATGCTCTGTACATATTGCAAAGAAATGGTGTGGTGTTGTTTTCTTTCCACTGGGCAGGCCTGGCCTCACATTCCTGCTCATTTCCACTTTGTTCTGTAACTGATAGAAGGAAGCCTGCGTTCGCGGGGCAGCCTTGGCATCTACAGATGGGAACAGCTTTCTCCTTCCTTTCAGAAACATTTGGCTCTCTGATCCTTACATCCAGTTGCACCTTGAAGAGCAGGTGAAAGCTGGTCCCCCTCCCTCCCTGACAGAGCAGCTGGAGGACATGCAGGCCTTGGCAGGTGCCAAGCAAAGCTTTGCTGTCCCCCTCCAGGAAGGAACACAGGTGGAGGCACATGTTCACCCATGATCTGGTCAGAGGTAAGATCAGAACCCCTTCCACCACTACCACCCCCCTCAAAACACACACACACATACACACACTCTCTCTCTCTCTTCCCCCCACCCTCCTCCTCCCACTCCTTCCCTCAGCCACCCTACCAAGCCTTGGCCAGTTGTCAGGGCTTCCCCAGAAGAGGGCAGGGGGTACTGAGGTTTGGCGGAGACCTCGCTTTGGGACTGTCATCTGCTTCCTCTTCAGGGTGGGTCAGCACCCTCCCCGCCCTGCCTTGTTATGTTTGGAGATTCCTTCTCCTTCCCACCCTCATCCATATATCCTGAGGTCAAAGGACCACATGCAGAAAGGGGAGAGAGCACCCCATGAAAGGAAATGGTGATTCTTGAATCTCTTCTCTCTAGGCGCCAGGCGGGGAGGACTTGTGTAGGGCATTGGGAATAAGACTGCAGAGGAGCTAGAGAAGTACTGTAGCCAGGCTTTAGGGTCAACGTGTCAGTTATTACCCTGTAAACCCATTCAGCATCCCATGGTCTACTCTGATGCCCTCCAGATTCAACTGGGCAGCTAGTTGGCTCCGTAATGCCGAGCCTTTATCATTTGCTTTATTTCTAGGGCATCCCAGGAAGTTTTCCAATGATCCTCTGCCATGGCCCCTCCCGGGACCGAGCCTCTCTCACCCAGCCCCCAGCCCCCCCCCCCCCAATAATGCCTTGGTGCTCAGCCCCCAATGGGAGCAGGTTGGGGTGAGCCAGAGGCCCCGGGCTGAAGGGGCAGTGTTGCTGTTCATAGCTTTTGTTCCATTGGCTTTGCTGTTGGATTTCATTTCAGTCTTCCTGATTCTTCCCGTCTATAAAGTGTACATTACCAAGTTCCTTGTTTTTATATACATATATATATATATATAAGTATATATATATACACACACCAACTGTACTCTTTTTGCCTGTGTACATTCAGGCAAGAAGAGAAAATAAATCTTTTTAAGAGACAATCACAAATCTGTGAGGGCTGCTGGTTCTTTCTCCTGGAATTTGCTGCTGAGCTGCCCCCTCCCCTCTCCCACCACCCCTCCTTTCCTGATCCTGCCCCATCCCAATCCTTAGCTTCACCTTCCCTGATTGATGGCAGCTGTTTCAGCTCAGTATCCAGACTCACTCGGGCCCAGCCACCATGCCTCTCACCGCCCTATAGATGCCAAAATGGCTTTGGGATTAGGTCACTCACCTCTGAAACTATGCAGCTGGGAGCTCTCTGCCTAAGAGTCTGCACTGGTTAAACTTACCTGGCGGATGACTTCTTAGGAATGCAGAGGAAACTTCCACCCCCCATCTCCAGGCCTCTGAGTGCTCTGAGCCCAGATCCTTCCTGCTGATGGACTGCTGTGACACCCACCAGAACAAGGGCTATGGGTGTGAGTGGAGAGCATTTGATCAGCATTTCAAACAGCCCAGCTAACATTCTGAAACACCCCAGCCAAACCACTGTTCTGCCTCAACTTTCTTTTTTCCTTCTACTTCCTTTTCATAATTGGCTTTGGAATTGAAGTATATTTTTAAATTATTTGTTGTATTTATTGAATAAAGTTTTTAATGTCCCTGTTCTTAAATTTAGATTTAGTTTGCCTTTTCATACCATCCCCCCCACCCCACCCCCCAAAAAGGCACTTCAAGTTGCTTTGGTTTTTGATTGGCATGTAGCCCTATTTCTGCCCCACCAGGGGTCTCCAGTACTAATTGTCTGTTTTAAAGGGGAACTCTTGAGTCAATGGCCAAGGCTTTTCCAATTCAATCCTTGTAATGCCGGATGTAGAAGTCCCGGTGGTGCAAACTGTTAGCTGACCACAAGATGGGAGGCTTCAATCCACCCAGAGGTGCCTTGGAAATTAAGGCCCGGCAGTTTACTGTGGGGAAATCAGCCACAGAAACGGTACAGCCTGTGAAGCACTGATCTGCTCTTACGCTGGCTGATTCAGCGCTGGCTGTGTTGGTGGTGAGCCACCAGCAGAGGGCAGCAGATAGGAGGCATCTTTCAGTCCCTAACGGGACAGCTGGAAAGGAGGAAAGGAGGCAGTTTTGTTTCTCTCTGGAATTAGAGGTCATGGGTTGGAGGTCAACACCAAACTCCTAAACCGCTTCCACCTACAGTGACTGTTGTGAACCTTCATGTGCATCTCCTCAGTCCCCATCTCACTAGTAACCATCTAAGCTGCCTAGTGAGCTTCGCTTCTTGGTTGGGGATCTTCAGGTTGCCTGATTTCAGTTGATTTGTTTGCTCAGGGTCTCCAGGCTCGCTGCCATCAAGTCAATGCTGACTCACAGTGACCCTGTGGACAGGGCAGAAGTGCCCTGTGGGCTTCCAAGACTAACTCTTTACCAGATTAGAAAGTGCTGTCTCTCTCTAGAGGAGCCACTGGTGGTTTGGCTGACCCCATGCAGCCCAAAGCATAACCATTATACCACTAGGGTTTCTGGGCCTAGACATTCTCAAATACTGGGGCTAGGCAGGGGTGACACACCCCTCCTAATACCAGGTGGAATCCAAGGTTAATGGGTTGGCTCTGAATAGAAATACAAGGAAGCTCGTAAGATTATGAAAGTGGGCTCAACCCAAGACCCTAAAAAAAAACAAGACAGTCCAGCTGAGGGGGGGTGGGGGTGGGGGGGCGGGCGACCATGTCCAGCACCTCACTTAGGGAAGAGGCGACAGGGGAAATGCTCATAAGCCCTTGAGAAATGAAAAACAAGAACCTATGTGTAGGGTCTCTCCTCCAGTGCGGAATGCCTCAGGCCAATGGTACCAAATGATGGAAGCTGTCAAGGCACTGGAAGGTATGTACTTCCTTTAAAAACTTGCAGGAATGGACTGTTAGGAGGAAGCTCCCTGCAAAAGCCAGTGTTGTGTTTCAGAACTCAGCTTCTCTTTAGGAGGAAGACGGTCTGTGCCCCAGCCTCCTAGCAGCCCCACATCTCCCGGTGGAGTGTGGCCCCAGGTCCTGAGCTGGGTTCCCTATCCCACTGCACCGCAGCTTGCTGCCACATCCCTATAGGTTAGGCTCTCAACTCAATGGGCAATAATGGTATAAGAATAAAGGTCAGACAGACCACAACTTTAAATCAGTTTATTGACACAATAACACAACACACTTGCCTCCCTAATAGCTCCCACCCCCTCACCCAAACTAGATGTCACCCCCTTTGTTGCCCTTAGAACAAGCTGTTCAGTGACAACCAAAAGGCAAGCCCACCTCTACGCCGAGTCTCCCCTGGGTCCTGTTGTAGACACAACTCCGCCTGTCCGGGAGGGCAGGAGAAGACTGTCACTGCTGAGGCAGCCAGTCCCTAAGAACAGACTGCACACCCCGGGCCCTGAATGGCTCTTCCTCCTCTGTTCTCCAGGACCCTAGGAAGGAGGCCTTGGGGCCCGGGCCACAGCTGGGAGCTAGAACACCTGGCGCGAATTTGAGAATTGGTATTTGGCAGGTGTTTTTTTTAAGACCCAGGCCCCTACTTAAAAAGCCCTGGTGGCAGGTGTGAGTGAGTAAAATGCACTGACAACATGAAACAGGCAAGCCAGCTTTCACTGAGGCCAGAACACCCCCAAGCTATGATGGAGGGTCAGCCCTGCTTGCTCCAGGCAGACAAGAACAAATGCACAGAGAAGCCTGGATGGAGTGTCAAACAACTCCAGGACACTGCCAGGGGCTGGAAGCCTACATCGAGGTGTCCCTGGGGTGTGAAGCATGAAAGAAAAATACACAAGTTTTAAAAATCAAAAAAGCCCAACTCGAGAGCGGGGGCACGAGGCCTGGCAGTGCTGCTCTCCAGGTGCCCCCTCTAGGCACCGCCCTCCCCTAGGCTAGGTAGAGCACATCACACAGCGCAATTTAAAAAGCTAATGCCAGTTCATAAACATCTTCATTTACTATTGGTGATTACATGTGAATAATATGTTTATACTGTTCTTTATGGAAAACAATTACAACGAGTCAACTCCGAGAACACAAAAGGCAGCCCTCACCCTGAGCCCCTCAGCGTCCTTCCCAAGACAGCAGGGAGCACCACCGCCGTCCCAAGGCTGCCTGCCCTGCCCTGATTCCCCAGCTGACCATTAGTCCTCGTCGGACAGGTTTGGGTCCAAGGGATAGACCATGAACATCACGTCTGGCCGAGAGGGGACACAGGGATGGCCTGGACGCACAATCTCAAAGCCCAGGAAGCTGAAGGTCTTCAGGAGTGGAGCTGTGGGAGATAGGGTGAAGAGAATGCTGACCAACACTACAGGTACACAGCCAAGATGGGGGGAATGACTTCTCAGGGTTCAGGAGGTAAACTCGGCCCACCCTCCCCCTTGCTGTGCAGGAGCCCCTTCTTTCCGCCCTAGACCCCACTGACCAGGTCGCCCACCTCACCTCTGTCTTCCCGGCCCTTCCTGAAGCAGACAAAGATGTAGTTCACGCTCATCTTCTCTTCAGCAAATTCCAGAAGTGCTAACAATCTAAGAGGAGCAGAAAATGGCTCAGGCTCCCCTGGGCTGCCATCCCATTTGCACCCCCGACCCTCAGAAAGGCTTTACATGACACAGGATTAGAAAAGGGGGAATGTTTCAGGCAGAGGTTCTTAATTTAAAACCTGAAACCCTAAACTTAGCCACACCCCCTGAGAAAGGTTTAATGAATTTTCTTCTGAAAACCTGAAGTTAACACGACCTAACTTCCGAATGTAGCTTACAAATAAGCATTTCCCAGGCTTTCAAGGGGCCCTCCAAGAGTGTCAGGCATGGTCAGGGGCACTTGCCAGAGACAGAGTGTGGGCCCTACTGTCGCCCACCGGGACTCCCTAGGGTGGCCAGGGGTTGTTCTTGGGCCCTGGCTGCTGGTGAGTATGGCCAGCCCCATGATCATCCCCTGCGGACCCTGAGCTTCCTGGACCGTGAGCTGCACCACTGCAGGGTATATCGGGTGAGTTAGTGTCTGCTGTAAAGAATGAACAATTAACTGGCAGAGATTTGATTAATGTGTTAATGATCTACTTTATCACTAGAGCAGCCCTGTTGTACTGGCTAAAATTAACCGGTTACAAAATGGTATCTGCTTAGGGAACCGAGCACTGGGGTGTAGTGGGCCCAGAAGCCCCCCTCCCTCTCTTCTCCTCCCCAGTCCACACATCCCCTTCTCTGGAGCAGCTTCCCCTACCCCTTCCTGGCCTGGGCTCCTTACCCTTCTTTGCTGCCATCAGCTAATAATCCATCTGGGATTTCTACAAACAGACTCTGGCTGGACAGGACTGCATCCCAAGAGGAGGCCTTCACCTCAGTGACCGCATACTGAAAGTGGATGATGTGAGGTTTTCCGTCGTTCACAGGGAGGTCCTGGGTCACAGTAAGCTTCTCGTCCTGGGGAAAGAATCGGGTCAGAGGACTGGGTCCCTCCTGCCTCTGGGCACATCATATACTCCCTAACCAGGGTGGTGCCAAGGGTCCCGTGGACCCAATCTCACAACAGCAGGGAATCGAAGCACCCTGACAACGTCCAGCTGCCCACTGGCTAGACGGAGCCATCAGTCACCACACTGAGTCACTCAGCCTCAGTGTCACAGGAAGGGGGAGTTGACCTGGTATCCCTGAGGTGCCAGGTATGGTGCCAGGTGCCTCTCCACATAACTCATCACTACAGGCACATGCAGTAGGCATTAATAGTCCCATTTTAAACATGAGAGACTAAGGCCCGTTAGGTAACTGACCCAGGCTCCACAGCTCAAAGGCCAGAGCTGAGATTCAAATCCAGGTCTTCCTAACTCCCAAGGCCATGCTTTTTCCACAGCACCACACCATTCCCCTTCCCTCTGTGAAAGGGAAACAAGGACATGGGGAGCACCTAGGGGACCAGAGTCAAGTCAAGGCTACCTCCAGGTGGACGGCAGGGCCCATAGATCCCACCTGAGTTCTGATCCTGACACCCTGCTATCCTTCCACAACAGTCTAGGAAGAAGCTAAGCCAACGTCTAAGCCTCAATCACATGATGAAAAAGCAGTACACTCTCAGGGAGAAGCAAAGTGTTGAAGATGGTCCCCAAGGTTTCTGAAAGCTGCTGGGCCATGCCCTGTCCTGCCAGGTAGCAGTAACTGAGCTGCCAGGCCTCTTCCCCCACCCTGAACCAACCCCTATCAGAAACAGAGGTCCCAATGTCGCTCCAGGTGCTTCAAGGGAAACTGGGGAACGCTTTGAGAAATGCTCTAGTGCAGTGGTTCTCAACCTTCCTAATGCCGCGACCCTTTACTGGAAACCTCCAACCATAGAATTATTTTCATTGCTACTTCATAACTGTAATTTTGCTACTGTTATGAATTAGGTGACCCCTGTGAAAGGGGTCACGACCCACAGGTTGAGAACCGCTGCTCTAATGCCTTCACATTCAGAACCCTGAGTACACACTACCCACCTGAATACTGGCCTCAAGCTGAGGCTGGCAGGTGTCCCCAAGTCACCCCAGAAGTCAGACCTCAGGCTCAGTCCAGTATTTCCAGTCTCCCTGCTGGCCCAGAGACTATAGGAATGCCTTGTGCTCCAGCCTCCGTAGGCCCCCTTACCTTATATATTAGAGCTGAGAGAGAAGGATCCCTGCTGGCCCCTCGCCCACCGGGGATCTTCGACAGTGGGTGAGGGGCATCAGGAGCACCACAGAGGCCCTGGAACAATGTGCCTGCAGCACTGGAGCTGGGGACAGCTACTCAAAGGCAAAATACTGCTGCAAGAGACAGAGAAGGGGACAGTGAATACAGTGGCCTAAAGACTAACACAGCACCCCACCCTGCCTTTCTCTACAAATGCTCGGCTCGACACCACTGTTTCTACACGTAGTTACTTCAACTTTAGTGTCCAGACATCTACCCTAAAAGAGGAGTCAACACCCCTGCAGAAACCAAGCAGCTCCATCTGACCAGAGGGGGGCGCCTGTCAAACAGTGTCGACTATCCTCCTGCGTTGGGCAGAGCCTGGGAGGAGTAAGATCCAGGCTGGGTAGCTGCCTGGACAAAGGCTAGCTGCGAAAGCACTGTTCCCATCCCTTTCCCAAGCCTCCAGCTAGGGCCAGGCTGGAGAGCACGGGCATATGGAACCCCAGAAGCCACCTTCCCAATGCTGGCCCATTCCCCATCGTGCAAAGAAATCATGTACCCAAATCCCTCCAAGGTCAAGGGGCATGGGTCCTAGGGCAGAGGTGCACGATAGTACACCAAGTGGCCCAGGATTTGTTTGTCCCTAGCCTGCCACCAAGGCTAGACTTGCAAGCATTTCTTTGGTAGAATCTGGCCTGGGCTGGACACAACAGACAGCTTGGGGGACACAGGTGCTCTGACCTGAGTGAGGCTGCCAGGAGTCAGGTGGGTGACACAGAGACCATGGCTCCTGAAGGAGCTGTTATTCCAGGCTGTGCTTTAATAGCCATCAGGGCTGCACACCTGCTCCATGGTGGCCTGCAAACCCCACATAGCAGCTCCTTAGATGGAGAAGTCACTGAATGAGTAAACGCTCACACCCTAGGCACAGGGCAGGCACGATAGGGACCCTGGCTCAGCCTGTCCCCAGTCCCCAAACCAGCAGCCAGAGTGAGAGCATTTACAGCCTCCAAATTTGAAAATTCTATAAGCCAGGGCCTTTTCCTGAAACCCAGTTGTAAAATAGTGCTTCGTGCACATTGTTCGCACTGTTGCCTCCTGCCTGGCGTGCTTGAGTCAAACTCATTTGAGGGGCAATGATATAAGGACCTTTGGTCCTGACACCCCCACTCTAGCTCCTCACTTCTGCTCAGCTTCTGGGGGGCTGTTCTCTCAGATTTCAACTAGGGGCCTAAAACTTCATCTTAGAATTTGAGAAATAGTTCCCAAGAGTTGTGTGGGAGCTGAAGCAGCCCCACCTTTCCTCCTCTGGAAGGGCCCCTGGGTTCCCTGAGCTCCTGTCTCGGTCTCACCATTGCTGCTGGCAGAAAGGGCCAGGCAGAGAAGGCTGTGTTGCTGATGTTTCAAAGACTGGGGACTTTTCTGCTAGGGACACTGGCTATTATAATGTGGAATGATCAAAATAAGAGTGCCTGGCCAGGAAACCAGCTTCTCCCAAAAGGCCGGCCCCACAGCATTTCTTCCTATCCACCCCTTTGCGGCCACTCTGGCCAGTGTGAGGTTCGGCTGGGCTTCGAGGAGAAGAGCGGCTGGCTGGTTTAGGTCAGAGGAGTTCCCCCGGGGGCACAGGGGATGCACACTATATATATATATATATATATATGCCAGAAGAGGTTCTTAGGTTCACAAGATAAACAGATTGCCAAGACCCTGGCAATTCTATAATTCTGACATCAACTCACTTCAAATCCACCTCAACTTGCAAAAGAATTATGACCCTAATGGTCTGTAGATGGGAAAGACCCTTCCAACCTCTGCCTGTACATCCAACCATCTTGACTCTCAGCCAGTCTTTACCTGCAACCACCAGAAGCAGTGAGGTCGAGATGGGGTGGTTTTTAGATCCAGAATCCCCTTTCCTACAAATACTCCAGCCCTAGGCCAGCACAAACCTTAGATTTCTTGATATTTCTGGTTTCCATATCCTCTTAAAACAAATGCACGAGGCCCATGACACCATGGGAACCAAGCGTGGGTTCCTATACAGGGGCTCTAAGCCTTTCAGTCTTTCCCCACAGTCTGCACCAAAAGGTAACTGGGAGGTGGGCTATTTCAAACCCCCAATCCTAGGATCTAAGAGAACATAGTGGCATTGTGGGCCACACACCAAGCTGCCGAACCACAAAGCCAGTGGTTCAAATCTACCAGTTGCTCCAAGGGAGAAAGATAAGGTAGAGTTAAAAGTCTCAGAAACCCCAAGGGCAGTTCTACTTTCTTCTACAGGGTCGTTTATGAGTTGAAACTGACTCCATGGCAGTGAGTTTTAAGCGAAACTGCTGGGGTTTAGGAGACAGCAGATCACAGTAATCAGCTTATCCCAGCGGATCTGATTTCAGCTAGTTCTGTTAGTGACAAGTTGCTTTTCTTTTTAAAAAATCAAGGTATTTACTTCCAGAGTGAGAGGGGAAGGGGTGCACAGGTGGTGATCAGATATAAAAGGGCATGAAATTGCCTGGCAATGGCACAATCTGCTGGCTTTGGTGGTCAAATGGTTTTGCAGCAAAGGGCCTGGGGAGAAAAAACAGCTCCAACTATGTTGGGCTTCCTGGTCATTCGTCCTATTCTAACTGGTTCCAGTGTCCCAATTTTCCCCTCTCCTCACACCCTGCCAACACTCCCAACACAAAGATGGCTTAGGAAGCTTGAGTGCAGAGATTTTAAGGATCAGGGTGATTAAGGTGATTAAAAAGGATCAAACAGATCCAGTCAAACCCAACTACCCACTAGGCTAGTATTGCTTTGGGAGAATACTATACCCAACACAGAGCATAGGGCGTGTCAGGTACCTGAACCCAGTGTTCAGAAGGGGGAGTGGGGACCTGGAGCCAGTCTCTACAAGCGGCCTCCAATCTCTACAAGCGGCCTCTTATTTTGTCAGTTGTTACCAGACCCGCCCTCAGAGGCCTCAGCATTGCAGTGCTATTGAGATGCATATCAACAGAGAGGGTTCCATGACACCGCTGTCTGAAACACCCTTCTCACTCTCATGGCCAGAGAGCCCATGCCCACTCAAAGTGACCCTACAGGACAGGGTAAAACTGCCCCTATGAATTTCGAGTCTGTAACTCTTGATAAGAGTAGAAAGCCTAATCTTTCTCCTGGAAATGTCCTTAGCAGGTTAATTTCATATACTGACACTGGCAGACATACAATAGATGCAGCAGATGTATTCCTGGGACATATTGATGGCAAATCAAATTTTTACCATTCAAATCCGATTTAAAATCTCTAGGGTGCTCATCTTTACAGGCATGCACCTTAAATCTCTTGATACAGTAAAGCATCTCCATCACAGGAGGACGGCTTTCCAGCAGTCTTTGATGTCCACTTGGAGCGCTCTCTTTGAGCTGCTCAAAGTGGGGTGCAGTCAGGCGGAGGTTTAATAGGAAAGCAATGTGGGGGGAGCATCCATTTAGCTACCAATACTGGACTTCATTGCTCCTGGATACACTCTTTAGCAAGTTTTCCTTGAATCAGGAGCCGCCTGGGCCCTCTGGCTCTCTGGTTCCCATTACATCAAGAGGGGCAGGGGACCTGCTCTTACTGGCTCCATTCCTGGTACTCCAGTCTGTCTGCCAGGGGCTGTGCCTTGCCCCCTTCTCTCGGTCCCTATGTCTCTGAGATTAGGAATGTCTACAGTGACTAGTCCCTTCACACAGGGGACCAGACCAGGGCTGCGGTGGCATTTAGCCGAAAACAGGGAGAAAGGTAGGAGGCAATGGCCACCCTCGGGCCAGTGAATCCGGATTTCGTCTGCCTTCAGTGGGGCTGCTGTGCATTCCAGAGGGAGGCTACATGCTAAGCAAGACTATACTGAGAATGACCTTACCACTCTAAGTCACAGACTGAAGCAAACTAGAGTTTGGCTGCTTTTCTACAAGATGAATACAGATGGCGACAGCTGGTGGATTGAGCCTCCCTCCAGGCTTCGCTTTTCCTTTAGAGATTTCATGACACAGCTGAGCTGACACTGGTCCAAAGGTTAGCCCACTCACATACACCCCCAGAGGTGGCTGGACAGCGGTGGTGCTTGGGAAGTAAGCTGCCGTTTTTTAATGCTTGCATCCATCCATTTGTATCGCAAGCTCTCACCATCCAGCTCCAGCCGTCCTTCCCAGGGTGGATGACCTCATTGTTTACATAGTACCAAAGACCTGGGGACTTTTCTTAAGGCTTAGTTCATCCCAAGTGTCTTAAGCCGCTGCCGCTGCCAGGAAGCTCCGTTTTGTTTGCTTCAGGTAACTGAAGTCTTGCTCGCCCACTCAGCCATCTCTGGCCTCTGGCTTTCACCTCGGGGTCACAGTCTTCCCAATCACGGCGCCAACCTGCACCAACACTGCTTACTGTTTCAAAATGGGACGCCTTACTCCCCGCCCCACCTCCAGATATGCATATTTGTAACATCACTCTCCCACTTCTCAGTCCTCTTTTTGTATTTCTGAGCGGCTCCAAGGCTAAATTTGGATTTCTTGGCACAGTAGGGTATTGCTATTATTAGTCCACACTGCTTTCTGGAGCATACAGCCAATTTGGGGGATTCCTGACTACATTGAGACTAACTTTGTGGGGATGACCTTGAAAGCACATCCCTGCAGGAACACTGGCTTGCCCTCACTTAGTCCCAACAAGCCATCGTTGTCAATAAGCAGGGACTAGCCATCACCAAAGTCTCTGGAGCAAGACGGGGAGGGAGTGCCCGCCCAGGACCCATTTTCTAGGATGTGTGTGTGTGTGTGTGTGTGTGTGTGTGTGTGTGTGTGTGTGTGTGTGTGTGTGTGTGCGCGCGCGCGCGCTTTACCCATCCCCCAAATGCTCCTTCAGGCCCCTCCACACACAGCCTGACTGTCAAAAGCCTACCAAGCCAGGACTAGCTCTTCACACACGGTCTTACACTGCTGAGCAAGCTCTAGACAGAAAGGGTCTTCCAGTCCCCACAAACCCAGGGAGAGGGCCCAGGCAGCTTGCTGCAGCCATCAGTTTGGTGGCTGTAAAACGCCAGTTCACAAGTCCTAATACAGGACCTGTATTAGGTGAGTCTTCTTCCCCACCCCGTACCCCGGCTCAGGCACTGCTGACATTTTGAAGGTACCAATCCAAGGCACCTGCAAAGGAAGAATCTTGTTTTCAAAACACTGCCTTGTCCCAGACTGCAACTACTTCTTCCAAGAAGTCCAGTCTCCGGCCTTCCCAGGTTCACTGGAGCCAGGAAAACTGGAAGTCCCATCCCCCACCCACTGGGAAAGTCAAGCTCCCAGCCAGCTCTCTGCTTATACAAAACACCAAGGGGACTGACCGAGGAGGACATCCGGCTCTTATCAAGAGTCCCTCGAGTCAGGGGAGTCAGGGCTCAGCCAGGATTCCTTTGAGAAAGTTAGGGGCCGGCCAGAGAAGGCTGGGAAACCTGCTAAGGAGGCCAGAAGGCCATTAACTCAAGAGAAACCAGACACTGCACACCCCAGCCCACCCTCAGGCCAAAGTCGGGGAGCCTGGTCCCTGGCTCTGGGCCCTGGCAGGCCATCTGGCTCCTCCCTCCATCTGCCTGTCATACAGCCACCCCTCAAATTACCAACACCCTGAGCAAGAGCCATGGAGACAAGCAAGCCTGTTTTGCTACTTAGGAAGCTGGAAGGAATTTCCAAGCAAAGCTAACCCAGTCCCCTCTTTTTTCACACCAACTAAACTAGAACTGGAACCTGGGTCACCCTTTTCAATCTGTGAAGACTCTGATGTTTGCTCTCAAGTGTGCCACTCTTCCAGGCCCCAACGGGGCAAGGACTAGCCATCAAAACCAGCTCAGTCCAGGCCACCCCACCCAAACAGCAGACCATCTCACAGACCCCTTCAGAGGGTGGGCCCCAGCTTCATCTGCCTCCCTGCACTTCATCCTCCCTCCCTCCTATCTGCCTGCCTCTCTCACCTCGCCCACACAGCCTTCTTGCCCACAGTAACACCGTTTGCATCCAGCCGCAACAATAGCCACCACCAATTCCCCGGCTCCAAGAGACTGACTCGGGTTAGAGAAAATGAGCTGAGTCTTGGAGAGAAAGGATGGCAAAGCAGGGGGATGGACAAGGAGAGTCACGGGAAAGGAGACTACAGCAGCAGCATGGGACTGTGGGTAAGAAGGGGTTGGGAGATGGGGATAATGGGTGTGACCCAAACAAACCAGGAAATGGGGAATTTCTTTCTGCATGGGGGAAAGAAAAGAAGGGGGTGGGTAGTTAGCAGTCTGAGAATTGAGGGAAGAAAGAGGCTAAGGGCTAAGAAGTGAATTTAAGAGGCTATAGCAGAAGCCTGTGTATGTCTGAATGGTACCTGAGGAAGACCAAGATGGCCCTGAAGGAGATAAGACCCTTGTCAATAAAGGACGGATGCCTCTGAAGGAGTATGATGGGAGGAACCAAGGCCTTTTTGAGGACTGGAGGGGCAGTGTTCCCCAACCCTAGATGCACGTTACAAAGAATTACTTGAGCAGCTTTAAATATACTGATAACCAGGTGCCACCCCAGGCCAATCAGATGAGGATCTTTTGACAGGGGTGGGGTGGGTGTCTGTGGTGCAGTCCCAATGGAGAAACATCACAAAAGCTGACGTCTCAGCATGGTGTTGCTGCAGGGTAGGCACTACGTTAGTGAGAAGGCAGGCGACATCTGAGCAGAACCACGAGTGACAGATCTGTGAAGGAGGCCAGAAGAACAGAGAGGCCTGTGTGTGAGGGGGGGCTAAAGTCTAGCTTGGGACAAACCATGGCACCATTTGAGGAGTTTGCAGGAAATGAATCTGCTTGCCAAGCAACAACCCCAAGAGAGGGACAGAGGCCACGGGCAGAACCTGGGACAAAGGAGCTGATGTGGGGAACCAGTGAAGTTCAGACTCAATTTGGAGGGGGACAGCCACAGGTCTCAGGACAAACAAGGAAGGGAATTGGCCCCCAATTGTACATGAACGCCATCCTGTTGTATAAGGGAAAACGAGTAAAATTGTGGGAAAAGGGGGTGTTATACATGGCTATAATGAAGAGTATAGGCAGCAGTCTGGGCTATGCCCGAGGCGCAGATGGGTGTGATAGGTTACCAGGAGGAGGAGAGGCAGAAAGGCACGGGAAAGGAGGGAAGGTGGCAAGCTTGGAAGAGGGAAAGATCAAGGGTGTGTAGAAACCCACTGCTGCCCCTTTTCAAAAAGATGTGCAGCCAGCTTTCCAATTAATTCGGGAAGGCTGGGGCTGGGTTTGGGGAGAGGAACCCACATCGTGGGGCCTAGTAAAAAGCCACTGGAGATATAAGGAAAAGGGGGTGGCCCTTAAAGGTCTTTGCTGGGAGGAATGTGGGCTGAGTTGGGTTGGAGGTGGGGGGCACATTGATCTAAAATCAGAGTTCGTTTACTATGGGAGGAATCTAGTCCACTGTTTGAGAGAGAAAGAGGTGAGGCTGGGAAGGAGGGAAAATAGGGCTAACGAGGGGGCAGGTCACTTGAGAGAGGAAGGGGGGGGGGCAGGGAGAGGCATCCCGTAAAGACCATTAGGCCTGGAGGAGGAGGGGCGTCCAATTGAGAAGCTGAAGGATGAAGCCGGAATGCGGGGTTAGGTTGAATGGCTAGTTTAAATGAAGGGAGAGGTTGAAATGGGAGGGTCAAATTACTTAAGAGACCAGCTATGGGGAATGGGACAAGATTTGGGGAACCAGATGAGAGAAGGCCATTTGGGGTACTGGGCACCATTGGGCGGCGCTGAAGGAAAAGGGGGGTCTGATTGGACGACTGTTTCCGGGATTGTAGGGGCTTCAGGGGAGCAGGCCAGGATGGGGGTGCTGGGCCAGACCAGAGGGAGGGGGTTAAAAGACAGAAGGAGGCCCGGGGGTGGGGTTGGGATGGGATTAGGGTGGCTGAGTGGAGGCAGGACCCTGTGGGGGGCGGATAGGGCCCTTTCGGGGAGCCAGCTGGGTGGTGGCGGAGAAGGCCCTCTGGAGAAGATGAGGGGAGGAGGAAGGCGAGGAGGCTGGGCTGGGCCGTTACCTGTCCTGGGTGTTTATCATCCTCGGCGGCTCTGCTCAGGGTGGGAGGAGGCGGCGCAGGGAGTGGGTAGGTGGATGAGTGGGTGAATGTGGGGTCGCACGCGCGTGGCCGATCACAGCAGGTTAAGTCCCTGTCAGGCCGCGGGCCGTGAGCCCTCCTCCTGCCTCAGCGAGCGCCTGCTTCCAACTGACCCTCCCCGGCCGCCGCCGCCGCCGCCGTAACCGCCCCGCCCCGAGTGCCTCATCTGCATAACCCCTCCCCGGCGCCGCGCGGTATCCTGGGATACCGGGCCCCACAACAAAGGGCAAAGCTCCGCCCCACCTCCACGCAGGCGCACCAGGGGCGGGGCGGGGAGAGGGAAACCGGCCTAGAGGCGAAGAACTGCGTGTGGGGGCTTCCAAGAGAGGACTCCCCCTGGCGGTCGCTGTGGTCGCTGCCATGCTATGCAATCTGCTTGAGGCCTAGGCTACATTTTGAGGACGGAGTTGACCTAATATTCGTCCCTGCTTCTTGTTTTTGTGGGCCCAGCAAGCTATTTGTCGATATTTTATTAAAATCGAAAATCAAAGAGCACCAAGCCCAATCTGATGTTAGGCCCACAGATGCCGGTTGCCTTGGCTAACAGTGATCAATAACCTGTGCTGCCCACTACCAGCAGCCTCTGCGCCTTGACTGCACACCTTCCGCCAGTGATCAAAGCCCTCAACACACTGTTTGGGGTCACCTCAATCAGATCCCTGTAGCTCATGGCGACTTCACAACAATCCTGAAAGACACCATCAGTTATCTATTCACAGTCACCTCGGATCATGTCAATGCAGAATGCAGGTTCCTTAGATCAGTCAAACAAGGCGGCTGCTAGTTCATGGTCACCTTACTCCACCAGCCTTACTGATCCCTGAAGTAGGTTAGTGACAAAAAGACACAATCATTGGTACACAGATCCCTCAGATTACAGTCATTGCAGGTCACAATCAATGCACTCAATGGTCCCAATTCCCTGCCCACAATCAATCACCCAGATGGCAATCAAGAGAAGTCAGAGTATCTCAGGTCACAGGGATTTGCTTTTACTTCAAGCCACATTTTTTCATTAACAGATCTGCTAGTTACTAAGTACACCAGGCATTGTACTAGAGTCCACGAATACTCAGGAATAAACTAGGCACCAGCCGCCACCATCTAGTGAGAGGGAGAGACACAGAGGCCATTGCAATATAAATACTCAGCCACAGAGACAGTAACTAACTACCTAGGGAACCAGTGACAGCTTTGCAGAAAGGGTGATCACAATCATTCCAGCCTATCAGCTCATAGTAGCCTAAAATCGCATATATACCACGTCAGTGACATCACAGAATACAATTACTGTACTTCACAAACAGCATGGATCTATTTTGGTTTTGTGTTTTTAGATTATGGAAATGCAAAGACAGGAGAAAGGTTGGAACTGTCAAGTGAAGGCTTTTCCAACAAAATGTAGATGATAAATGAGAGTATAAATGCCCGGATTATCACTAAATATTAGGCAAGGCTGGTCCAATACTCTGGTTCACTTTAAGATCTTACCTTGTCTTCTTGACCGTCTTCACCTAGTCTGCCATGTTCAAGCCAGATAATGAGAGAAAGTCAGCCTTGATTCACCCCATCTCAGAGACATTGGCACTACTCCTGGCCTTTAAAGGGAGCTGGCATGACTCATTTCTTCCAGCCCATCCCTGAAGGAATAAATCAGTAGATATTGAGAGCTTACTTTGTCAACAATAGTGACCACTTGTTAAACATCATGTTAAAGCACTCATTTTTACAACCACTCATGCTGTTTTTCAGGTGAGAAGAATTAAATCTCAGGGAGATATATTTTGTTAGCTAATATTTAGTGAATATCTATACATGGGCATCTTTTCACTTCATAATTTTTAAAAATCATTTTATTGAGGGCTCTTATAGCTCTTATAACATTCCATACATCAATTATATCAAGCATATTTGTACATGACAGTATGTTGCCATCATCATTTTCTAAACATTTCTTTTCTATTTGAGCCCTTGGTATCAGCTCCTCTTTTCTCCCTTCCCACCCTCCCATTCCATGACCCCTTGATAAATGATAAATTATTATTATTTTCCCATTTTACACTAACCACACATTTTTACTTTCAATTTCCTTATGCTAATTCAAAGCTAGTAAATAGAGGGGTTAGGATTTGGCCTGCATTGTCTGTCCCTGTGCTTTCCTAAGGTGGTATAGTAGTTACATGTTGGGCTGCTAATTGCCAGACAGCTGTTTGAAACTACCAACACTCCTTAAGAGAATGATGAGGATTTCTATTCCCGTAAAGATTTACAGTCTTTAAATATATATATTTACAGTCTCAGAACCCACAGGGCCAACTATACTCTGTCCTGTGGGTCACTGTGAGTCAGAACCAACTTGATGGCAGTGAAAGAAGGGTTTTGCCCAGATGCCCACCACAGGAGAACAAGGTCTCTTGCTGTTTGGGGGGCATCACATTGAGGTCCACCTACTCAATGCCATCAAGTCAACTCTGGCTCATGGCAGCCCTAGAGGACAGGGTAGAACTGCCCCTGTGGGACTCTCAAACTGTAACGCTTAAGGAAGTAGAAAGCCCCATCTTTCTCCAGTGGAGTGACTGCTGATTTCAAACTGTGGACCTTGTGAATGCAGCCCAGCATGGAACCACCACACCACCAGAGCTCCTAAAAAATTCACATATTCCTAGCCACGTTCCTCCACCCTGTGCTATCCAGTATGACAGTCACCACCCACATGTGGCTATTTACACTCGAATTAATTACAATGACATAAATGGAAAACTCGGTTCTTCTGTCCCTACTAGCCCCCTGTCAAGTACTCAGTAGCCACATGTGGCTGGTGGCTACTGCAGATATAGAGCATTTCCATCATTGCAGAAAGTCCCTTGGAAAGCATGCTGTACCCCCATCATGTCCCCATTCCTACTTACCTCCACCACCACCACCAGTTCAAGCTCTTTCTCTTGATCGTCTGCATCCTGCTCCTGCTCAGCCTGCTCATAGCTCTCTGTTGCAGCCACACGCTTCTACTCTGCTCTCGGCGGCCTGTGACCAGCACATCGTTCCTTTCTTCAGCCTGTACTCAGGATGCTGCCTTCACTTTCTTGGCTTACCTGAAACCCGGCTATCACTTCAGGTTGGTGCTTCATTGGCAACCTTTTTAGGTTAGTGCTATTTTTATTCTTCTGTACCTCAGGGACAGGGAGTAGGTAAATATATTCCTTCCCCATCTCCACTGCTGTGATAGGTTTATTGTGCCAACTAAGCTTCCTAAGGAACATGTGGGCAGAGTTTAATCAGGTCACAGCTTGATTGGAGGGCGATGAGATCAATGGCTTTCCAAGGCCTGGCCCTTCCCCTTTTTCTCCCTGGCGATCAGACCAGCGTTCTGCTGCCTGAGCTAGTCCTTTGCCTCACCCCTGTGCTGTGCTCTTGTGGGCCAAGCCTATGGGAAACAGAAGGATTTCTCTCAAGCTGTCTCCCCCCAAAATATGTACCGGACTTAGCTGCTTGAGTATGACTGTACACTAGGCGGTTAGCGAAAGTAGGTCAGAGGTTATTCTCCTTAACATCAGCCATCTAGAGCAACCAGACTGTATAGTCTGACTCACCCTAAGTAGGGCCCAGTCCCTTCTGCTATTGTTCCCTTGAAGCAGTGCCCAAAGGCAAGTCCGGGACCACTCTAAGATGACTAAGCTTAGGCTTCTATATCCAGGGTTCACCCATCTTGCCACACATGCTCCCCTATTCCCTCCTCTTACTATTGCGTGTTCACCCCTAGGTAATCCCCCTCCTATTGCTTGCATTCCCTATGTTACAACTCCTCCCTATGACGTAGGTTGTTATCAGCTATCAGGGGGCTTGCATGCCTCCCAGGATAGAAATTGTCTGTTTTATTGTATGAGACACCAGAATGATCTAACCTGCCCAAGGATGAATTGTATTGCCCCTTTCTGTGACATGCGATTCTATAATGATGTCCCCCTAAAGTGATATGATGTGTGGTTAGCAATAAATAAGGAGGCTCCCTGGTTCTCGGGTGGATGAGGGTAGCTGCTCCCGCGAGGGAGGCGGCTCCTGCTCTGGCGGCCAGGTTCCCCTCACGGGGATCACCAAGCGGGGCGGAGGTGAGCAATGATATCATGTAATATGTCTGACTGTATTATTGTAATATCTCTCATGCTCTCGATAACTTTAATATAATACTTATATATCTCAACCGTACAATTGTGCTTACTGAACCTGTGGGTAGTAGTAGCAGCAGGTGGGGTCTGGCCCCTCATACCCACACCATTTAACTTAATACTACACAAGCCCACCCTTGGATCGTGACTATTTACTGTTCCACAAAAGTGGGTTGAACTGAGCCCTCTGTATGACGGACTAATTAGCTGTTATAGTCCTTCTCGCTATGTAAACCTCTATCTACCTATCTATATCTTTCTATCGATCAGCCTTCATTCACCCCATCTCAGAGACTTTGGCACTACTCCTGGCCTTCAAAGGGAGCTGGCATGACTCATTTCTTCCAGCCCATCCCTGAAGAAATAACTCCTTGGCCTGAAGGACAGTTTTGATCAGTAGATATTGAGAGCTTACTTTGTCAACGACAGTGACCACTTATTAAACATCATGTTAAAGCACTCATTTTTACAACCACTTCTCGTGTCCTGGTTTTGTTTCTCTAGAGAACTCTGCCTGGCACAATTGGCACCAGGAGTGGTTCTGCAGGAACGAAACCATCAATATGGGTTTCCTAAGTTACTTCTCCAGTCTGACGGTACTGAGAATGCTGCCTCTGCCCCCAAAAGTATGGCTGAGTCTGCCACTCTTACCAGAGCGGGTGGTGTTCATCCATGGTGTGAAGTGGCAAAGCTAATATCCACATGTCACCACCGATAGATGAGGTGCTGGTGAGAGGAGAGGCTCTGGGTGAGCGTGTGTTGGATATTTTTCAGCAGTTTTTTCCAGAGGAAAAGCACAGGGAAGCTGGTTGGCTGGTCCTCCTTACAACAGAAAATATGACCAAGGAAAGGGATGATTGCAGAAGCACGTCTCAAGTGCCGAATGAAAGGCCCAAAGGCTTCTGGATGTGCCGCCAAGGAGAGCCTTCTCTCCTCTGTAACAGAGCTGATGTTGCGAAAACCAAATCCAGAGTCTCATCATCCGAGTAGCT